TAACCCAAAAAAAAAAAAAGATTTAGGTTAGAGCTTATAGGCCTATGATAGCTTTTAGAGGGGCGATTTCGGCCAATTGAGGAGAGAATTTGGTAACATGGATTGGGTTGTTATATATATATATATATATATAAGATGAATAAAATAACATTAGAACTTAGAAGTATAAATTTTAATGAGGATGAAAGGAAAATTTCGTAATTTCGTCTGTTTTTTATGTGTTTATTTTATTTGTGATTGGGTTCCACTAAATGTTGTCTGGATTGGTCAAAGAAATAAAATAAAAATGAAAAAGGTCTTAAAATTGTTAAATTTTCAAATAATGGAGCTCCATAAATTCCTCAAAGATGTGTCCAAACATCAAGCCCTTTTGCTTACACATCACAACAAAAACAGATACGCTGTCTGTTTGGTGTGCGGAGACTCCTCACCTAATGATAAAAAAAAAAAAAATCTCATTATATTTAAGTGAAATTGGGCTAGAAAAAGCCCACATATAGATGCCATTTCTTATTTGGGCCGAGCCCATTAAAACCACTAAAATACTGAGCCCGGTCCAGTCAAATCTGACATTGTTTGTTCCGGTCTGACTGAATTTTAAAATTTTAATAATGTAATTTTTGTTTGCTTATTTTTATCGGTAATTATTTTCTTTTTTCTTTTTTATCTCGTAAATTGATTAGAAAACAGAGAGCAGAGGTTTCAGAGAGGAAGAGCTGAGATTTTCCGGGAGATTCTAGCTGGATCCACCCGTACCCTGGAATGATATTCCCAATTTTCGATGTTCGTACACACTTGGGCTGATTACCTCCGGCAAAACTCATGAGATTGAAAATCGGGTCGTGTTCGTGGCGCTCATGATCTGTTGAATTGCTTTCGAAGAAGTGACAATTTCGAGAAGTGGGGATCCATTCCCGGCCAACGTGATGAAGGCCGGGAGCGCGGCAAAATTGATAGTGGAGGCGCTGCTGCAGCGGTTCCTGCCTCTTGCGAGGCGTCGAATCGAGACAGCTCAGGCTCAGGTCTCAGTCATTGCCCTTTCTCTTACCCATTTCGGATCCTTTTGTTGTTCATTTTCGCAGTTATGCAGTGTTCCTGGTCTTGGGATTTGTGTTGTGTCCTGCGGATTTGAGATTTTGGTGAATGGTAGTTGTACTCTTGGGTGGAGGATTGGAGTGATTCTCCTGTAGCAATGCTTCTATTCCACAGCAAGTTTTAGACTTTTAAGTATAACCTTTTCTGGGTATTTTCTCATATTTGCTGTACCGTTGTCTTTTGCGGTGATATGGTTCTTCTGGATGCACTGTTTGTAGGATGGACAATACCTTCGGCCATCAGACCCGGCGTATGAGCAGGTGTTGGATTCCTTGGCTATGATTGCTCGTCACACCCCTGTTCCGCTTCTGGAAGCTCTGCTTAGATGGAGGGAAAGGTGGGTAAAGTTTGAGTCTTAGCTATTCCCACTCCAAACAATGCGTGCTTTGCAAATGCCGTTACGTTTTAGGACATTACTCATTAGTCTCAATCAGTGCGCTAGAGAGGAAGGCAGTGCTTTTGTTGAGCGGCGCATTAGATGGTTTCTTTTCTAGTTGTTTTTGTTTGAATATTGGATTCCAGGTGTTCTAGCATTGATTTTGGATTCTTTAGTGCATAATCATGATTTCTGGTGTATATATCGCTTGTTGTTCTCGTAGGTACTCATCTCTAGATTTTATTCTTTAATAAATTACTAACGTCAACCATTATTTATGTCGTGTTGGTTTGTCTTGTGACTCCTACCTTGCAGTGAATCTCCCAAAGGTGCAAATGATGCATCAACTTTCCAGAGGAAGGTATTTACATACGCTTCATGTAATTAACTTCTTGGGTTTTAAAAACTCCATCTGCCTAGAGAGCTAGACCCAAACATGCGGACTGCTGTTGTCTAGCTTATCTGTTCAAATAATAATTCTGTCTCCTAGGTCACTTAATTTTTGTAATTGTTTTTATTTTCTCATACGTGGCTTTACCAAACTGGAAACAGTTGGCTGTGGAATGTATTTTTTGTTCAGCCTGCATTCGTTTCGTGGAGTGTTGTCCACAGGAGGGGCTTACCGGTTTGTTTATCTCTTTACTTGGTTGCTTTACAAAGGGATGGTTAGACTGTATTGCTAAAGGAACATTTTGGTTGAATTGCAGAGAAGCTATGGTCTGGACTTGAGAATTTTGTTTTTGATTGGCTTATTAATGCTGACAGGTAATGCTTTCAGAATCAAGAGCAACTGGAATTTATGCATTTAGCTAATATTTTTTCAGTATTTTTTTATTCGAGCACCTCCATTTTCAAGTGGTAAATATTTGAATTGCCTCCTCATCACAGGGTTGTTAGCCAAGTGGAATATCCCTCACTGGTCGATTTGCGGGGTCTCCTTCTTGACTTGGTTGCTCAACTCCTGGGTGCATTATCCCGTATCAGGTATTCCATTTTGTAAAGTTGGTTGAAGTGGATTCTTCAAACATACTGAAACTATATGTGAATCAAAAGTAGATCTCTCCTTCACTAGTGCTTTTAAAGTCGCATGGAAAAATTGTAGAATTAAGAACTGTGTCCCGAGCTGTGATGTAGGTCCGCCAATTTATTTATTACTTTGATTTTCTGCTAATAGGTTCAGCTCTGTCACTGAGCGCTTTTTCATGGAACTCAATACTCGTCGGATTGACACAAGTGTTGCAAGGAGTGAAACTCTCAGTATCATTAATGGGATGCGATACCTGAAGCTTGGGGTATGTCTCGTACATTTTAGTGAGTGCAGGATTCAGGAAAAGAACATGACAGTGAGTTTAATTCCAGGTCAAGACCGAGGGTGGGCTTAACGCTTCTGCCTCATTTGTGGCAAAAGCAAACCCCCTAAACCGTGCTCCGCATAAGCGGAAAAGTGAGCTTCATCATGCGGTGTGCAATATGCTTTCTAACATCCTGGCACCACTTGCCGATGGTGGTAAAAGCCAGTGGCCTCCTTCAGTTTCAGAACCTGCACTGACACTGTGGTATGAGGCTGTTGGGCGCATTAGAGTTCAGCTAGTGCATTGGATGGAGAAACAGAGCAAACACATTGGTGTACGTAGATTCCTTTATTGAGGGCCCATTCGTTTTAGAGTTTTTATCCTTCATCAGCACCAATCTGCTATTGGCAAAATTTCCTTGATTTTCATCTTTCCTGAATATACTTCTGACTAGCTTAATCTTTTCCCTCTTTTTCTTTTTTGTTTTTCTTCCAGTTTAGGTGTACCGATCTGTTTATCAGCTTTCTTCCCTACTTTTTAATGATTGAGTTCTGTGCTTCAGTTTTGGCTTGGAAATTTCATTTTAAGCAGTATGATTGCTTACACTCTTTCTGAGTGACCCATTAGAGGTTTTGCTTGTCTAGAAGTTCCATACTTCTTACAGATCTTGCATTCACATTTTCTATCCAATATCGTTGTCTTGATTTCATTCTTTTAATAAGTTATCTGTTTTAAATGCTTCGCAATTTCACCTCTGAATAACTTTCTTTTCAGTGGATTTAATTTGTTGTAATGTTCTTAAGTCAGCTTTTGTTGTGATTTTGTTTCCTGACACAAAATTATTGGTTGATTAGGTTGGCTATCCACTTGTGACTCTTCTTCTCTGTCTCGGTGATCCACTGATATTTCATCATAATCTAAGCTCTCACATGGAGCACTTATACAAGCTTTTAAGAGTAAGTTCATTTACATCCAGAATGTAACATAGTAATAATGCAAGTAGAGCCAATTGTCATGCTCTCTTACCCAGCATGTTCAGTTATTAATTATACTGTAAGAGCTTCTTTTTCATTTATATTCTTTTAATTATGTTGTACTTGGTTTCACTTGTTATTACACTTTCTACTATATCTGCAGGACAAGAACCATCGTTTCATGGCACTTGATTGTCTCCACCGGGTGTTAAGGTTTTATTTAAGCGTGCATGCTGCTAGCCAGCCACCAAATCGTATATGGGACTACTTGGATAGTGTAACATCACAATTGCTAACAGTTCTGAGGAAAGGAATGCTTACTCAGGATGTCCAACAGGATAAACTTGTTGATTTCTGTGTGACCATAGCTGAGCATAACCTCGACTTTGCCATGAATCACATGATACTAGAGTTGTTGAAGCAAGACAGTCCGAGTGAAGCAAAGATAATTGGTCTCCGAGCTTTGCTTGCCATTGTCATGTCACCTTCAAGCCAGTATGTTGGCTTGGAAATTTTCAAGGGTAACCTATATATCCTGTTGGAATACATTAAACGTTATATACCGCTTTCTCACAACAAAACTCATCTTTTCCTAATGTTCTTCTAAACAGGTCATGGAATTGGTCATTATATACCCAAGGTGAAAGCAGCAATTGAGTCAATTTTAAAGTCCTGTCACAGGACCTATAGCCAAGCTCTTCTAACATCTTCCAGGACTACAATAGGTAAATTGAGTATTCAATAAGCTTCATCTGAAATGTTTGGTTCTAAGGTGTCAAAAATTTAAGTTAAGAAAACATTACATATTGTTTGTTGTCTTTATGTGGGTATTGATCTGTACTCTCGAAGAATCTTTTAACTTTTCTTGTCCCGGAATATGCAATTGTTGTTTGTTATGTTTTAAGCTTTTATCTAGTTATGACTTTTCTCCAGTAAATATTTATTGCTGACTTTGAAAGGCTTATACAGATGCCGTGAATAAGGAAAAGTCTCAAGGATCTCTCTTCCGGTCGGTCCTGAAATGCATACCATATCTTATAGAAGAAGTTGGCCGCAGTGATAAGATCACTGAAATAATACCTCAGCATGGTATTAGCATTGATCCAGGAGTTCGAGAGGAAGCAGTGCAGGTACTGAACCGAGTTGTTAGATGCCTTCCTCATCGGCGTTTTGCAGTTATGAAGGGGATGGCGAACTTCATCCTGAAGCTTCCTGATGAATTCCCTCTTCTGATTCAAACATCACTAGGGCGCCTGTTGGAACTCATGCGTTTTTGGAGGGCTTGTTTGATAGATGATAGACAGGAGGCTGATGCTGAAGAGGGGAAGAAAACAGGGCAAGGAACTGATAGGTTAAAAAAATTATCTTTCCAACAACCAGCAGATGCCATTGAGTTTCGTGCTGCAGATATCGATGCTGTTGGCCTGATTTTTCTTAGTTCAGTTGATAGTCAGATTCGGCACACTGCATTAGAATTATTGCGATGTGTACGTGCCTTGAGAAATGATATACAGGACATCATGATTCAAGAACACCCAGATCATGTTATGAAATATGAAGCTGAACCAATATATATAATTGACGTCTTAGAAGAACATGGGGTTAGTACCATCTCTGTGTAACTGATTGTACCTGATGCTGTATATTTTCAGCCTCTAAGCTTGTTATGGATATAAATTTTTCTGCATATCCTAAAGTTTTTTTTTCTTCCTTTCTTTATACTAGGATGATATTGTTCAAGGTTGCTACTGGGATTCTGGCCGTCCTTTTGATTTAAGACGAGAATCTGATGCCGTTCCTCCTGACGTGACTCTTCAATCCATAATCTTTGAGAGCCCTGATAAGAACAGGTGGGCCCGGTGTCTTAGTGAGCTTGTCAAGTATGCTGCTGAACTCTGTCCACGTTCTGTTCAAGACGCAAAGTAAGTATATTTCTTAGTTACATGGGTTTTTTTTCTACGTATTTGCTCGAGTAGTCGAGTCTTTGTTGTTATGTTTTATTTCTCTTTCGATAGACCATCAACGCTGTTAAAGTACATGGGAAAGCATTCAAGTTATGTAAAATTTCATGAGGACTATGAAAGATAGTCTATTGTTCACCAGGCCCAGAAAAATGCACTCCTACTTTTAACTATTTGTTCTATGTTAATGAATTTCCTCTTTTGCTAGTTCTAGTTAACATGAACAAAAAAAGTAAAGTTCTCCTTTCCTTACCCAGGTCTGAAATAATGCAACGTCTTGTCCATATCACACCGGCTGAATTAGGTGGAAAGGCTAACCAGTCACAAGATATGGACAACAAACTGGATCAATGGCTTCTGTATGCAATGTTTGTATGTTCTTGTCCACCAGATGGTAAAGATGCTGGTAGTATAGCGGCGACCAGGGATATGTACCACCTCATTTTCCCTTATCTTAGATTTGGGTCAGAAGCACACAATGTAAGTTTTTACCTGTTATTTTGTTGGCCTTGTTGCACCAACTTCTAAGTATGTTTTGTTGATCAAGTTCAATGTGTTTGATAATATCATACGATTCTCTTGTTTTCTCTTGATTAGGTTTTAACTTGTTCAAATAACATTTTCCTAGATAATTATTTGAAGCTCTTCTTCTTACCTGATGTTTCTACCTTATGTAGTACGCTGCAACAATGGCCCTTGGGCATTCGCATTTGGAAGCATGTGAAATCATGTTTAGCGAGCTTGCATCTTTCATGGATGAGGTTTCATCAGAAACAGAGGCAAAGCCAAAGTGGAAGGTATTCACTTGAAGCAAATTGCAGAAAACTTTAATTGTTTGTTATTATGCATATCCTGGAAATCTTGTATCATGCATAAGTGATCTATGCTTCACAACTAACTGGGTCAACAAATTTATGCGGGGGCTTCTTATCACTTAAAAGGGCTAGAGAGAAACACTTTCTCGTATCTGAAAATAGTTGCTAGTTAAAAGGAAATGTCTGAACAAATAGGGCTAATTTCATCCTTTCGCTTTTATTTTTTGCTTTGAAAAGAAGTTATTGGAACTTGATATTGAATATTTATTGCTGGTGATATGAATTGCAGATCCAGAAAGGAGGTCGCAGAGAGGAACTCCGAGTCCACTTTGCTAATATATACCGTACCGTGGCTGAGAATGTCTGGCCCGGAATGCTTGCTCGTAAGCCAGTGTTCCGCCTCCACTATCTGAGGTTCATTGAAGATACAACAAAACAGATCTCGATGGCCCCACCTGAAAACTTTCAGGACATGCAACCTCTGCGCTATTCACTTGCATCTGTTTTAAGGTTCCTGGCCCCTGAATTCATCGAATCAAAGTCAGAGAAATTTGATGTCAGAACTAGGAAACGTCTATTTGATCTGCTTCTTTCCTGGTCTGACGATACGGGCAGTACTTGGGGACAGGATGGCGTGAGTGACTATCGGAGAGAAGTCGAAAGATACAAGACTTCGCAGCACAACCGGTCAAAAGATTCTATAGATAAAATCTCATTTGACAAGGAATTGAATGAACAGATTGAGGCCATTCAGTGGGCCTCGTTGAATGCAATGGCTTCCCTTCTATATGGACCATGTTTTGATGACAATGCAAGAAAAATGAGCGGCCGTGTGATATCTTGGATAAATAGTTTGTTTATAGAGCCTGCTCCCAGGGTTCCTTTTGGTTACTCTCCTGCTGATCCAAGAACCCCATCTTACTCCAAGTATGCAGGAGAAGGTGGACGAGGAGCAACTGGCCGTGATAGGCATAGAGGTGGCCATCAACGTGTTGCTTTGGCTAAGTTGGCTTTAAAGAATCTTCTACTTACGAACTTGGATCTCTTTCCTGCTTGCATTGATCAGGTGAGGATCCTCTCTGATTACTCACACGGAACAATTATTAAAACACCCACCATAAGTTTTGCACCTCAGATAATGTTGGTATTTGCTCATAGATGTTTGTTCATGCATGGCTCCTGGTAGGCATAGAAGGTTGGTATAGACATTACTGGACTGCATGTAGACAATAGAAACTCGAGAAATTTCTTCAACTATAGATGTTGTCTTTGTTTCTATCATTCATGTGGCTGCATCTTTTTCAAAATCGTCTTCTTTTAACCACATGACCTAATTATGTCTGTTTTTCCCAGTGTTACTACTCCGATGCGGCTATAGCTGATGGTTACTTCAGTGTGTTGGCTGAGGTTTACATGCGGCATGAAATTCCAAAATGTGAAATCCAGAGGCTACTGAGTCTTATTCTCTACAAGGTTGTGGATCCATCTAGGCAAATCCGTGATGATGCCCTTCAAATGCTCGAGACGCTTTCTGTGCGTGAATGGGCAGAGGATGGAATGGAAAATTCAGGAAGCTATAGAGCAGCTGTTGTAGGTAACTTGCCTGATTCCTACCAACAATTCCAGTACAAGCTCTCCTGCAAACTCGCCAAGGATCATCCTGAGCTAAGTCAGCTTCTTTGCGAAGAAATCATGCAGAGGCAGCTTGATGCTGTTGATATAATTGCTCAGCATCAGGTCTTGACCTGTATGGCTCCATGGATCGAGAATCTTAATTTCTGGAAACTCAAGGATTCGGGTTGGAGTGAGAGATTACTAAAAAGTCTTTACTATGTTACTTGGAGACATGGGGATCAGTTCCCGGATGAAATCGAGAAGCTTTGGAGCACAATTGCAAGCAAGCCAAGAAACATCAGCCCTGTATTGGATTTTCTAATCACAAAAGGTATTGAGGACTCTGATTCAAATGCATCTGCCGAAATCACTGGTGCATTTGCTACATATTTCTCAGTTGCTAAACGTGTGAGTTTGTATCTTGCTCGGATATGTCCTCAACGAACTATCGATCACCTGGTTTACCAATTATCCCAGCGGATGTTGGAAGACAGTATCGAACCAATTGGCTTTGGTGCCTCCAGGGGCGATTCCAATGGAAATTATGTGCTGGAATTCTCTCAGGGACATGCTGTAGCACCACAAGTTGCTTCTGCTGCAGATACACAGCCACACATGTCGCCACTGCTTGTTCGAGGTTCCCTCGATGGCCCCCTTAGGAATGCAAGTGGGAGCCTAAGTTGGAGAACAGCAGGTGTGACTGGGCGAAGTGCTTCTGGGCCCTTAAGTCCGATGCCTCCTGAGTTGAACATCGTTCCTGTAGCTGCAGGTCGTTCTGGTCAGCTCTTGCCTGCACTGGTAAATGCATCAGGACCGTTAATGGGAGTTAGGAGTTCTACAGGAAGTTTGAGGAGTCGTCATGTATCACGAGATAGTGGAGATTACCTCATCGATACACCGAATTCTGGTGAAGAAGTTTTGCATTCCGGGGTTGGAATTCACGGTGTTAATGCGAAAGAACTCCAGTCAGCTTTGCAAGGGCATCAACAACACTCCCTCACTCACGCAGATATAGCTTTGATTCTGCTCGCCGAAATCGCATATGAGAATGATGAAGATTTCCGGGAGCATCTGCCTTTGCTTTTTCATGTCACCTTTGTTTCAATGGATAGTTCTGAAGACATCGTGCTCGAACATTGCCAACACTTGCTTGTGAATCTACTGTACTCGCTTGCTGGTCGACATTTGGAACTGTACGAGGTGGAAAACAGTGACAGAGAGAACAAACAACAGGTTGTCAGTTTGATCAAGTACGTGCAATCAAAACGTGGGAGCATGATGTGGGAGAATGAAGATTCGACTGTTGTGAGAACAGATCTTCCAAGTGCAGGGCTTCTGTCCGCGCTTGTTCAGAGTATGGTCGATGCTATATTCTTCCAGGGAGATCTTCGAGAAACTTGGGGAACTGAGGCCCTCAAATGGGCAATGGAGTGCACTTCGAGACATCTAGCCTGCCGGTCTCACCAGATATACCGTGCATTACGACCATGTGTTACTAGTGATGCTTGTGTCTTACTTCTACGCTGTCTCCATCGATGTCTTAGCAATCCAATACCTCCGGTTTTGGGTTTCATCATGGAAATCTTGCTGACGTTACAGGTCATGGTAGAGAACATGGAGCCAGAGAAGGTCATACTCTACCCACAACTTTTCTGGGGCTGTGTTGCCATGATGCACACAGACTTTGTCCATGTCTACTGCCAGGTTCTGGAGCTGTTCTCCCGTATTATCGATCGTCTCTCATTCCGTGACAAGACAACTGAAAATGTACTCTTGTCAAGTATGCCTCGGGGTGAAGCCAACAACACGAGGAATGATCTGGGTGACTTCCAGAGGACGGAATCTAGAGGGTTCGAGATGCCACCCTCTAGCGGAACACTGCCCAAGTTTGAAGGTATACAGCCTCTGGTGCTTAAAGGACTGATGTCAACTGTTAGCCATGATGTCTCCATCGAGGTCTTATCGAGGATCACAGTGCCTTCCTGTGACTCCATTTTCGGTGATGCTGAAACGAGGCTCCTAATGCACATCACAGGTCTACTTCCATGGCTTTGCCTGCAGCTCAGCCACGACCAAGTCCCGGGACCCGCTTCACCACTTCAGCAACAGTACCAAAAAGCATGTTCTGTCGGGTCCAACATCGCTGCCTGGTGCCGGGCAAAATCACTCGATGAATTGGCTACAGTTTTTGTTGCTTATTCCAGGGGAGAGATCAAAAGAGTTGATAATCTCCTATCTTGTGTATCTCCTCTGCTGTGCAACAAATGGTTCCCTAAACATTCAGCTCTAGCTTTTGGGCACTTATTAAGGTTGCTAGAGAAAGGACCGGTGGAGTACCAAAGAGTGATATTGCTAATGCTTAAGGCATTGCTTCAGCACACTCCCATGGATGCTTCTCAGAGCCCACAACACATGTACACGATAGTGTCACAGCTGGTGGAAAGCACTCTGTGTTGGGAAGCACTGAGCGTTCTAGAAGCCCTTCTTCAGAGCTGCAGCCCATTGCCTTGCGGGACCCATCCTCAAGATTCAGCCATCGTTTCAGAAAACGGGACTGAGGAGAAAACGCTCGTGCCTCAAGCGTCATTCAAGGCGAGAAGCGGGCCGCTTCAGTACGCCATGATGGCTCCACCACAGCAAGGTGGCGGCCTGGCAACGGAGATGGGGATGATGGTACCGAGAGAGGTGGCTCTGCAGAACACGCGGGTAATCCTCGGACGTGTGCTCGAAAATTGTGCATTGGGGAGAAGGGACTACAAACGGCTGGTCCCATTCGTGACGACGATTGGGAACATGTGAGCAAAAAATTTGGAGCAACTTTCGTGTTTAGATGCATGCATCTCTGTATTGAAGGATTCGTATGTAGATCCAAGCGAGAATCAAAGCCGGTATTTTCTCTTTGGAAGATGAGAACCTTTTACGTTCACTTAATGTTAAATATTTGATTCGGACCAAATGATCAAAAAGTCAAAATGCGTTCAGCTGTTCCGAACCAGAACCAGGAACACGTCCATGGCATCGGTTCCTCGTACTGTATCAGGCATGCATATATTATTGAAGCAAAAATGCTCTAAGGAAGTTTAACGATAAATAGTACAACAATCGCTGTGTAAATAGACGCAAATGAAGAAAACGAACAAATGTCAGCAAGTACAGAAACAGCTACGCAAAATAGTAATAAAACTTCCATACGACTGATATGATAGATATTTTTTTTGAGCTAAATAACCAAAACTGTGGTGGTTGGCTGCTCAAGCTTTGCCGTTAGATGCTGAATTAGCCGCTGGGTTAAGCTCGTCCCAAGCTTCGATCCAAGTGACCATGGCCTCTGACAGCTTGTCGAAGTAGGGGTCTATGGTGCTTAGCTTCTCCTTCACCAACTTGGAGAGCTCGATGTAGCATTGCTGAACGGTGGTGCACTCTTTCGGAAGCTTCACGTTCTGGAAGAAAGGGATGATCTCTTCCTGCCAGAAAATGCCCTTGTATTCCTTCTTCAGGTTCACAAAGGGATTGCTTGCCTTGCTGTGGTAGATGTAGGGCAGGCCCGTCTTCACTCCCAAGCCTAGGTGGTCACATATGACCTATGGATCCACCCATTGTAAGGATATGGAGATTAAGAACAGATATATTTGAAAAAGAAGTATAGAATGAAGGAAGATATGTACCTTGACACACCACCCAGCCCACATATCGTCGTAGCGTCCAATAGGCTGGCCATCACCCATGAGACCAAAGTACATGGCTGGACCGATCAGCTCACGGTCGAAACACAAGTTCATACCGCACATCGGGAAGAGGGTTCCCTTGGGGATGGTCAAGACAGCATCCACATACCTAACCGTGTGATGAACACATTAGCAAAACATGCTGACAACTCTCAGAAAAGACAATTAACATGCGCAAAGATTGGTGAAGAACCGGTTATTACCTGGTGTTCCTCTCCATAGGCTTCACGAGTTGGGTCGGGGCATCATAATCAGGGATGTTGAGCCAGAGACCATGGGAAACAGCAGTAGGAACGCCCTCACGGAGACTGAAAGGGTATCCACGGACGAAATCAGCACCCTCACGGTAAGCATCGTACAGGGTGTTGAAGAAAAAGGGAGATGATGGAGAGAGGATGTTCTTGATGTGTTGCTCCAGTGCATTAATTGCTTTGCCAGATGGGTCCTGGGCAACCTATACACGAAAGAAAATACAGATAAGAAAAAACACCAGAAGTTCCAGTGATCAATATCCAGAAGATCTCAAATGCCCCAAACTGGTTAAGGAAAATACATAATACATATCTTAGGTTCTAACTACCACAATGCAGATATCGTTCATGGAGACACAGCAAATGATTGATAAATGGCTTAATTTATGGAAGCAGCACCAACAGCTTGCAGATCATCTACCATGGTACTTAATCTATAATCATTCTCAGGTTGAACCCTTGTGATACAAGAAAACATCCACCGTTGTATGCTAAAGCTCTTCCTAGGGCAGGCTAGCCCCACAGGCAACAAAGAAAAACAAAAGTTAAAGAATTTTATTTCCATAATGATAAACAAATCTGTTGGACAATGACATGCGAGCACATTGTGAAGTTAACTACCATGACACGGACATCAGCTCTTAACCAGTGTCCTCAATCAAAATGCTATACGCTCTGAGAATCTAGAGGGTCCAGATTTAGAGAGCATGATCAGTTACAAAGTAAATTCCTTATCAATTGATAAGGCATTCTGAGAATTCCACCCAATCTGTGTACAGATCAAGACGCATTGACGATAAGAAAGATTAGATCTAACTCAAAACAATGTGTCCCAACTTGACCTAGCTTAGTGGAATTGAATTTCATCACCAAACTTCAAGATCTGTCAAATTCATAGATCCGGCCAGTTGACCTCGCATAAAAGCTATCATTTTTCAAAAACAAAGATCCAATCAGACAATAAGACAGAACCCAAAAACAGATCTAGGACTTGAATTAACAAAGGTCACGAGCCCAGATGCAGATCAAGCAGGGAAACAAAAAACCCAGAAAAGAAAAATCAAAATTCAGAAACTTACGAAGCAATCGTCGTCAATGGTGAAGATGTACTTCTTCTTGGACACCATGTAACCGAAGCATCGACAAGCGGAGTCCTTGAACGAAATGCAATTGGCTTTGGGACCCAGGATCCGGTTGATATCGTTCCTGTTGTAGAGCTCGTAATCGAACCCTTCGGGAACATTGATCTTCTTCGACGGATCTCCGTCCTGGACAATGATCAGATGGTAGGGCTGGAAAAAGGGCCTCCACATCTCGAGGAAATCGAGGTTTCGGATCGTGGGGATGACGATATCGAGCTGATCCTTCAGCGCCGGTGTCGGGTTCACCGGGATTCCAACGGTGTTCGCCGGCTGAACCATGTTTGACGGTGGTAGTGAGAGAGAGATCTAAGACTCGGTTTCAGCGTTTCACGTTTTCGTCACGCGTTTTGGGGGGGTCTCAGAGTTTGAAAGTAAGATGAACGAGAGAGACCGAGCGAGGGTGACCCATATATACAAGAGAAGCACGTGCGATGGGGGAGGAGGTCACGTGCGAGTGATGACACGTGTCGGATGATGAGTGGTTTAACTGGACAAAGGGTCTTTTGTTCAAGGGAGGAGATGAAGACTTGTCTTTTTTGTCATTCCATGGCCGTGCTTTCCGGGGAACAAAATCTAATAATACTTGTTGCGGAAAATTCCAGATTTCTTACATATTTCAATTTATTTCCTCAGATTCAACACTAAAAGGCTGTATTTTTGTCCTAAAACGTTACACTTGAGAAAGAAAGAAATAGATTCTTTGGAACATCCTCCCAAGTTTGGGTTGTAAAGATCCCTATACGTGTTGCCTTTTCCCTCTGTTAATCTTGTGTCAGTATATCTCCATTTCTTGAGGTGAGTATACAAAGCACAAGAGATTTGGGACAGAGATCACGAATCTGTCAACATCTCTCTTACAAAACCCATGTTTTGATTTCTGCCCCCCCCCCCCCAAAAAAAAAAATGAACATTTACACTAGCAATGCAACAAACCCAAATGATGTCGCAGTAACCTAGCTATAACCCACGAATTATCTTTATCGAATCGCATCTGAATTCAGGTAATTGCCTCGAGAATTTTCCTACTTTTACTGGAAAAAAGTTCCAAGATCGGACGCCGATTGAGTTACCGGTAACTTTTACCTCTCTCTTAAAAAACCCCTGTTTTGTTTTCTCCCCCCCCCCCCCCCAAAAAAAAAAATGTACATAACAGATTCTGTCTGGGTTTGGCTTCAGAATCACCAGATGGAGATCAGAAGGAGGAGAAGAAGAAGAGCAAGTGGCAGTGTCCAGAGAGAAGACAGGTTTCCATGCGCGGAGTTTGGTAAGAAGGGGTACGTGTCTGGTGGGGGCAACATGCACTCATCGCCATTGAAGTAAACTTTCCTTGGAAAGGCCCAGCCTTGCTTGAAAGTGAAAGTGTTCCTGTCTTTCTGGAGGAGAACCTCTGACTGAACGTTTCCGAAAGGCCCCGCTTCCATCAGCAGATCGTTGTAGTATTTCATCCCATAGAACATTCCCGTGTCGTCTGCAATTTCACCGGATCAATCAGAAAATGCATCTTTACAAGAAAGATATGAACGGAGACTGATCTACTTATGGATTCGTAAGGGACGAGTGGCTTGTAATCAAAGCTGAAAACTTGAGTGACGTTGTTGAGGTTCGGGTGTTGGATGGCGAGGGTCCACAGAGAAAAGTTCATCCGGTAGTTGAAATTCGTGACGGCTATCTTCACACGCCAGTAGTCTTTGTAGTTAACTTTTACGTGCCAGTGAACTCTAACCGGGCACATGTGGTGCGTGCACTGAAGCAATGGAGCATTGTCTTTTCTCGGAGTGTTGATACCCTTCACGCTTAGAATCTTTGAATCACTCCTGCAAATATATACCGATACCGATCTCGTCAGGTAAAAGGGTTTATGTTTTGGCGATCTGAATATAGTTTTCGAGTAGAGTGATTGTCGCTTTGCTCACTTGACGCAGCCCTTTTTGCTCTCGCAACCGCAGGCACAAGAAGGGCAAGGAGTTATGGTGTCGTTGTAGAAGGACGAGAAGGAGACGCAACAGCTCGGATGCTTTCTTGCCAGAAACTGCGAGTATGTGCATGTAACGTTCCATGTCACTGCAGAAAAGAGAAAACTTGAACAATCAGCCTGATCTGTAAGTGTAACGAACTGAAATAAACCCAAGTCTGAAGTTGCTCACTCAAGGCCTGTGTTTTTCTCCGCTTGTCGGGAGTGAGAAAAATAGTTGAAGGCACGATTTTGGCAGGACCGCAAGTGTAACCGAGGCCGGGACCGAGCAAAGTGAAGTTCTTCGGAAGTTTGACAGTCTTGTTCGAAGTGCCGGCCAGACCAACACTGACCTGAAACTGAGAAACAGAAGCAGATGGGTCCTGTCCCCACGCAGCCACAACACCACCTTTGCAACAGTTTGAGAACTGTTGGTTGTAAGGAACACCGGGAAGAAGGTCGACAAGTGTGGGAGTTTTCTTGCAGCAATGAGGTACGTTCCCTTTGAACTTTGAGCAGTCACCCTGTTCAGTTGTTTGTGCACCCACCATGGACCAGATCACTTCTTTCTTTGCCCATGTCCACCCCAATGTCCATCCCGGGTTTGGTATGTGCCGATACATTTGGAAGTTGTTCATCGCTACTACAGCCTGCGACTCCCATATATTAGTGTTAGCAGCTGAATAAACAAGACTCGAAAAAAAAGAAGCAAATTTGCACCAGAGACTTACCACATAGCCGTCTGGCGTCCAGGACATGACATCCCATTTGATTGTAACGTTTCCATTAGGATCCAGTGGATCATATGCGGCTATCAATCAGAAAACAGAAGCAAAGTTACCCACTTTTCGCCTCGAAAGAAATGTTCAGAAAACGGGTTTTCCAGCGTGAGCGTAAAGACTGAAATCTAAGGGACTCACATGTACAATAGATGAACACTGAGAAGAAGAAGAAGAAGAAGAAGAAGAAACCCGAGATGGAAAGCCTCATTTCCTGTGATATCGTCTGTTGATATTGAATCCAGAAACCGTTGAAAGATAAAACTGGGATAAGGGGTTCTTGGCTGGATGAAGCTTGAATGCTATTTATGAATTCAAAATAGAAAAGCTTGAACGAGTTCTCAGGTTTCCTGAAGATTTTGTTCACCTACTGGTTGTTGCATTCTCATTTTTAGATTCACAATTACAACAGCAACGTTTTATATGTATAGATATCTCTGTTGTTTCTTTTTCATTTCTGTATTTGTTTCCCATTTCTTGAAGCAATGGCAACCAACGTGTTAAGAGGCTCTTGTCCGAGTACAACATCTCAACTGTCTTTTGATCGAATGCGGTAACATGTTAATGTTGCGTGGCTGAATCAATGATTTCATTGATCTGAAGCTGACTCTGTTGTCGGCGTTCTTGATTCCAAAACGTACTACAAAGTCCCATCCGGACAAAACCGAATCATCATAATCTGGGGACAGGCCACAAGTCAACTTCTGACACAAAACATCTCCCTCAACACTAAGTTTACGTTAACTTCCTATTTCCTACCTTCCAAAAGCTTCTTCTGTAACTCAATACTTCATCTAAACAGTACTGTGTTCCAAGCAAAAGTGTATTACAAAGTCCCACCATAGTTTAGGAAAGAGAAAGAAGCCGGAAACAAGGTAAAAAACTCTGCAACCAATATAAAAAAGGGGCTTTAGCATTACAAAACTTTAGTAGTGAGTCAGAACTGAGAGCTTTTTCGATGAAGATTTCCAACCGAGGCTGGCTTTAGCTTTAACCAACCATCAATCCCTGAGTTGCAGCAGCGGCTGATGCCTGAGACCCGTCCTCGATTATCTTGTTAGCTTGAATTGTGCCGATGACTTTGGCAAAATTATCCTATGCAACACAAAGGGAAACAGCAAACTGAGGCAGAATATCCCCTTCCTGTTGCTACTGGCGGACAAATGCATTCATTTCTCACTGACGTGAAGATTTACACAGAAATTTGTATTTACCCGCCAAATTGTGAGCTTTGTCCGAAGAGATTGCCACTCCTTTTGCCCAAATATACGCTCAGCGCAGCGGCTGAAAGACAGCAACATGAACAAAGACTTTAAGTATATAAAACTCGGATAACAGAAACAGCCAAAAGTGTTCCATGTGGATCTGAATCCCTTCTTGTGAGCTATAACTTTATCCAAGGATCAATGTGCAGTTTACACACACAAAAGTCTACTAGAAAATGTGACTTTTTACAGAGAGAAGCACATAGCACTTGTCTCACAAGTACGACTTGGTTCATCTGGTCCATCTTACAATCCATCAATTTTGCAGTTGCTGCCTTAACCACCCACAACTCAACCTCATCCTCATTTATCTGCAAGATGGCAACACTAACAACGAGAAAGACAGTTATTATAAAGTATGTCCAGTACAAGAAGGAAAGTTTACCCGTAGAGTATCCTTGATGAGAGCGTACAGAACTTTTCCAGATTCAGCAGAGGCCAAGTCCACAAGTGGCATCAATCTCATCTTCACTACACAGTCTTCATCAACAAGACCTTCACACCATACATGCCTTAGTGCGCTCAATACTTCTCCAAAAGATGAAGGATTAATAAGCATATCGTGTTACACAGCAACAGCTTTACAATAGTACCATAGGTTTGCAGAAATCCTGAGTTTGCATTTTGGAATTCAAGGTATGCATCCAGCCTCTGCGTAAGAAAGATCTTCAGTAACTGGTAAACTGGCGCAAATTTAGCATCCTTCTCCAGTTGTGCTACAGCTGCCATGCCCAATAAATCACACTGCAGTCCAGGAACGTGGATCGATTTCCAATAAATTAGCACGGTGAAGAAAAAGCAGTAGCAAATGCCTTAAATATTAGAAATAACTAACAAGTCGAATCAACATCCATAGAAATAAAGATAAATGCCAGCTTAACATAGTATGATACCTGAAATATACCAGGACCCGTGACAAATTCAGAACAGCACGCACAGCGTCTTCCTTGGCCTCAGCCAGGACTTGGGAATCATCATTGGAGAAAGTTGCCAGATAGCTGGTTAGGAACTTGAAGGATTCTTCTTGCCATGCAGCAACATCCATAAAAACCCAATGAGCAAATTCTTAACTGAAAGAGTAGACTGGAATCCTTTTTGCAATTTCCTTTTATTTTCTCTATGTACATTTGCAATCGTGAGAAAGAGTTCTCTCTGGTCTTTCAGGTCAATGTTCCACTCGTTCAAGAAGCTGTCAATCTTCTTAAAAGAAGGCAGTAAATATTCAGTAACCTTCCAGCTGACTGCCAGCTCAAGAGCTTTCACGTACACCTTGAAGCGAGCATATGGGTGGGAAAGTAGGTTATCTAGAGATTGAAAATGCTGTAGAAGATCAAACAGCCAATGAGAGACAGATAATACATGATTTAACAATTAGCATGTATGCTCAAAAGAATCATACAAAGCGTACATCTTCAAAAGCGATGAGGCTCTATCATTTGGCTGCTGAGCGATCTTTGATGATATAGCTTTGGCCATCACAAGGGCTTCATCAGGGTTTTCCACTTTCTTGACAAGACTGCAAATTATGGTGTACACACACTCGAGATCTGAACAAAGTGCAAATATCATGAAATTACATTTAAAAGAATCCAACACCCGCTCAGAAATCTTGGCCGATACCAAATCGGCTGAAGTTAGCGTTAGCATGGCCAAATCCAGCCACCTGCCTGCTACTATAGAATCCTGAGCCTCTCGGGATAGCCTGGTAACTTGCGGCTCCGCAACCTAAGCAAGGGAAGGAAGTTCCTAATGCAATCCATATATAACAATGCAGCATCTCACCGAAGCTTTGAACAATGCAACAACAGAAAATCACAAAGAGTAATGTTTTTAGTAGTTATAGTACTAATCTTCCACCATCCCGGAAGAACACTTGAAAACTAGTTCAACTAGAACAATATCAGGTGGAGAATAGAAAACTGCATGATGGAATGATCAAATGCAACAGGATCCTGAAATATCACAAATTTTTAATCCAAAACATCTAATATAGCCGAGAAAATAAATAAATAAATAAGTACATCAAAAATTCAAAATAAAGTAGAAGAACCAGGTGAATCAAACTCCAATACGTCAAAACACAACCAAAATGACATCTAACAGACCAAATTCAGAACTCAAGCCGCCCATTGGCTAAAAATTCCAAATTTTCCACGTAAATATCCAGAGCAACAGAACAGAGGCATCGAGATTCAAAACATAAACACCGACAGAACATAAACGCACGCAAATGTACATGACCATGGTCCAGAAAAAAAAAGGTGGTACCTCGGGACCGGCGTCGGCCCAAGCGAGCTCGGAGGTGAAGCGGACGACGGCGAGCGCCGGATCTTCCTCGGAGGTGGGAACAATGGTCGTCATTGTTGCGCTCTCTTTCTCTCCCCTCTCCGCTCTCCAACTGCCTCTGAAGATAAAACCCTAAATTCTATTTCTTCTCCACCACCAGCAGAACCGTCCCGGTCCAGATCCAGTCAATCGTAAACGGTGAAAAATTATAACCAGCTGCATCGGACGGCTGTCTTTGCATCGAAAGAAGCGTATAAAATTTGACGGTCAGGATCAATTTGGAGTCGCATCTCTCGTAAAGATACGTTTTTTCTGCGCCACTTCGAGCCACGATCTTCCCCCGCCGTTCTCCGCCGGGTCGCAGATCGGAGATCTGAAGTGGCAGCTCTCTCTCTCACACACACGCAAATCTCCTGATGGATGACGCATTCGTCGATACCGCACGTTGTTTACTGGATCCGTCTCGGCACCGACAATACAATCAAGTTCGTCTTTTTCATACCCATCCTTCCGTTTATCTCTGTCACTGCGATGAAAATTCCTGGGTTTTTGTTTGATCCATGTGAAGGCATTGTTTATACTGAGTTCCATTGTTTCTGCATCACAGATATAACGCTTTGACTATGACAGAGATTCTTCTGGGTTTCCGAAATGCTTTCTGATTTATACTTGTTTTCTGGATTTAGTCCTAAAAGCTATAATTTTTCTTCGAGGGGTAAAGATGCTTGAGTGTTGCAATGTCCAAACTTGAAGCTTTGAACCCACGAAATGCAGAATTTTCAGTTTTGGTTGATCTTTTCGTCACGCATAACATCAAAGTCTTGAACGCTTGCATTCATTGATTATGCTTATTGGCATTCAGAGCTTGTTTTGATTGTTTAATTCGTTTGAATTCAATCTTCAATGATCCATATTCAGATCAGGAACATGATTTGGTTGTTTCCAGGAAATGGGCTTTCGGAAAATACCGTCTTGATGCAGTACAGATACAATGAGCGCAGTCAAGATACAGGCTTTCAAAGAACACAAACTCAAGAGAACAGACAATGCAGAGTTTCTCTGAGACATTGTTTGGGATCCAACACAGAGAAAGGACACAATTTCTTGGTGATGGTTCACATTCTTTCTACGTTTATTGGATGGGAGTCGGAGGCTCATTTCTCAGGAGCAGAACCGCCTCCGAACAGGTAACCTAGAGAAGATCCACCACCAGGAGCAGCATGAACCTTGGTAGATGGCCGGTCCTGTTCAGACACGACAAATTGGTATCACCACTTTTCTTTCATTCGTTCATACGCAGACGGCAGACATCTTAATGTAATGTATATGCCATTGATTCGTACCGTGAGGAAGTTGCCACAGTTTTGTCCTTCTGACCGCAAGTAATTGTTGGGACTCCCCCTCACACCTGCCGGAATCTGCTTCTCCTCCGCCTTTGAATTGCCACGTGCGGCGGCGGCTGTTCCGGCAGCAGCAGCGGCGGCGGAGGAGGATGACTTGGAAGGAGCTTCACCGGATCCAAAGAGATATCCCAGAGAGCTCTGGCCTCCACCGGCACTCACTCCTCGCCCCATCTTCCCTGTTTTTTTTTCCTTTTCTTGTTCGTCTTCTTCTCTTATGGGCCACAAAAGGAAATACAGGCCTATACACACGCACACATACATATATATATATATACATATATGTCATATGTATGTATGCGTGCATGGTTGTAAGAGAGAGAGAGAGAATGTGTGGTGAGAGAGGGCGTGGAAGTAATGGGAGGCACGTGTGGGGTTAGTTGTTTGGTGGATCCGTTGATTTCATATTTAATGATTTTAGTATTAAACAGAAGTTTTGGTTTTAAAACTGATTTAACTACCCTTTTTTATTAACTTCAATCTGGTTGGATATGAGCTTATCCATCTGTATATGTTGCGTATTTATATATATATATGTATATGTGTGTGTTTTGGTCGCATCATGGATAGGACATAGGGGTAAGAAGATGCTCTTTTAAGAATCAAGAAGTATCAAAATCTAAAAAAGCTGTGAGATTCCATTTTTGGGTATTAAAAATGGGCCTTAGTTGGGCCTTCGAGAGTGAATAAGTTGGGCTTTTGATTTCTATGTTTGGGCCTTATTCATATCCTCATTGGTCGGTCCAACGAATCCGCGAGCAATGTTAAATCTAAATAAGGAAAGCCCGAAAGAATTCGTGAAATGATTACTTTTTTTTGTATTTATAAAAAAAAAAATTGCAACTTTTATGTGTATGTACTCTTGATCTTTCATTATATATTCGAATATATATATATATATATATATATTTCTGACAAAAGAGGTGGTGATGGTCATCATCATCCTACGGACGAGATTTCCTCGTTGACTCATTTGAAGATTTCAGTGACGTTGAGAGATGGCAAATGACATGTGACTTCATCATCATTTCCTTCCTTCACGCTCTTTTCATTTCCCCCCCTTCTTTCCTTTTTTTTTTAAGAAAAAAATTTATATATATCATGTAGTAATAAACATCCAAAATTTAAAACTGGTGAATGAGATGATCTTTTATTGCTAGAAATATCAAGGTTTCTGTCATTTTCGCATATAATTGAAGCATATATGTATATGTAATAAATAAATGAATTTAAAGGTTAATAAAAAGGAATTGGGCCATAATTTCCACTTGCATCTTTTTGGGCAGTGAAGCATATGATGATGCTTACATAGTTCCCATACCCCTTCCTTCATCCCCATTTTTCACTGATTTTTACATTATTATTATTATTATTATTATTATTATTATTATTATTATTATTATTATTATTATTATTATTATTATTATTATTATTATTATTATTATTATTATTATTATTATTATTCCATTCATAAAAAATTGAAAAAAAAATAGTTACCCAAAACAAAAGAAACAATAAATAGAGAGAGAGAAACTGACCAAGCTCCGAGGTACATGAACTTGGGAGATCGAACAATTCGAATATATATATATATATATATATATATATATATATATATATTCGAAATCTCAAACACGTTCGTGTATAAATCGAGATATGAAATAGTTTTAATCATGATTATGATTTATAACTCCCACACAGAAATAGAACTTTTCAAATATATTTGTAGTGTTGATTTATTTGAATATCTTCGTTAATGGCGAGCAAATGGGCGCCTTAGGATTCATATATATATATATATATATCAAAGTGATTGTATTGTTTAATAACCACAAATAAAATAAATAAATCTTATTATAATATGGTCTAGGAATCTAAGCTTAAACGACGTACCAAATTGCCATGTGCATATGATAATTAAATACTTGTCTTATAATATAATATATGAGCCTTTGCTTTGGTTATTTTGTGTGTTTTTTCCACTTTTCCCCTCTTGTCGACCTCTCCTATTTGGGTATATCATCGTCTATATATCACTCATGTACTTCAAATACAAGTTACCATTTCGTGAAAATCAAATATAAAAAAAAAGTATATCCATGTTATGAAATAAATATAATTCCATATTGGTTAATTAAAGTACCATATACGGTTGTAAGCAAGGAATTTTGACTTACCTCCTTGTATAAAATCATTCGCTCCTTATGGAAAATATATCCCTTCATTGAGTAGCAACATAAATATATATATACACACAGATATGTATGTGTGAGTGTGTATACATACATATATATATGATTTTGGCTTGGGCAAAACTCAAGGAGGGAGTGCCCCCACAGAAATTAATGATGTAATTAAACAAATGTTGAAAGGGTGGGTGATAAGTGGGATCATGTGCCAATAATTGAATTAAATTGACCTTTGGAACTTAGTGTAAAAGTATCAAACACATTTGATAGGAAAAAAAAAAGGAGGGTTTTTTTTTTTTTTTTTTTTTGCATAGTTGGTTCCCTACCAATTTACCAAAAGCTCCTCCTCCAAAGCCATTTTGCATGCATCATGTGATTTTGTTCCCTTTGTTCCTATCTTAACTTGAAATTCATCTGTTCATTCATTCCCACCTTGTGTTTTTCATTCACATTCCAATACATTATCATATATTTCACATTAATTCATGGATATATATATATATATATATATATAATACAAAAATGATTATTTGTTCAAAAATTACGAATCAATAAGATAAGGCGATACAGAATTTTTAAAAAAAAAAAAAACTAAAGCGCGTTGTGAATTATGATGATGGAAGTATAGATACGATTACATGATTTGAAAATCCAACCTACACTCATGTGTAAGTATATTCCTCGGTACTTTCATAGGCTAAGGAAATCAATTACATTTATTTATCACTTAGCAAATTTTTTTAAAAAAATAATACAAAACACGAAAACATTTAAATAAATGAATAATTAAACAAATCACAACCCCACCTTGTTCACAGCACATAGTTGAACACAGGGGCGGACGCAAGACAAGAGGAATGGGGGCACGTGCCCCCAGTGATTTCATAAAAACATATTAAGTTTATTTATAAAATTTATAAAATTTTAAATATATTTGCTAAATGCCCCCATATAAAATATTAAAATTAGATTGTGCCCCCTTCTAAATATTTCTCTAGGTCCGCCCATGGAACAAGGCACGTGATATGCCCCCAAAACTTTATGATTAGTACATCTAATCTGAGGACATTATACCAACAAAAATAAATAAATAAATAACCCAACATTTTATTATATTATAAGTAACATTTGTATAAGTCAAATTCCTTTGTTCTTTTTATTCTATTTCACATCCAAAGTCGTTACAAACCGACCTCTAGTTTTATAGAATCCGACCGAAACTTTAAGTTCCAATTAGTAATAAAGATTTTTTAAAATATGGTTTCAGTTATAATATATATTGACCAAAAGTCGGATGGGTAACACTATGAAAACCCCACTGAAAAACTCTAAATTAAATTAGAACATGAAAAGTGAAAAATAAAAAATAAAAAACAAAGATACTTGAAAACCGCATTGAAAAAGAGATCAAAAAGTCATTCCATGAATCAAGACATTACCCACATCCGTTATAGTGTGTAACATAGACAGACAAGACACTTCTTTGCTCCTTACTCTTTATCTTGAAAACAATTTGTCCGAAATTAAAATTATCAGAATAAATTATGCATTTTCTCTAGTCAGTAATTATATGACTAAAAAAAGATATTATTTCCTTGTCAGTAATTAAAGATTATCCTTTCTGAACAAATTCCTTGCAAGACCCACCACCTCCAATCTTCATATGACTTTTATCCACTTTTTTCTCTTGATTTTTTTTAATATCAATATGTTTATTAATTATTTTCTGAATAACAAAACTCTAATATTTTATTTATAAATGTTAATTTTGTATTTCCATTCTTGCTGTCTGCCTGTCTCTGACAAACTCCACATGCAAATGTAAAAGGGGCACCAAGAACTTGGAGACCCCACCCACATTATTTTGTCCACATGGAAACTCTGTCAGATAAAATCTATAACTTTTTATATTTTCTTTTTTTCATTTATTGTACATTCACTGACACCTATAAATTAACTTTTGGATTATTGAACCCAAAATTTTAAAATAAAAAAAAAATTGTTCTAATCAGATCCGGTCCAAGGACGCAATTCACACAAAATGAAATCAAATCCAAAAACATCACATTATAGATCCATTCTTACATTTATCCATGAATAGAAAATCATAAACTCTGGGTTTTACCCTATACTGTTTTTATTTTTGTGTGATGGGTTTATGAAAAAGAAATTAAAAAAAAAAAAGGATTGTGCTTTCATTATTCCCCAGCAGATTTTCAGAGGTTGTCATAAATACAATTTTATTCATAAAAAGTTAAACAAAATACATTCTCATACGTACATGTGTATAATCTACAGATACACACGTATACATGAGAACATGTGCAGATGGATGGGATACATACCAATGTTATATATTCTTATCAAAGGCTCCTTGATAGTTGCAGCTTTGCCTTTCCAAAAGAGAAGCCTCCTCAAAGAAAAGAAACAAAACCAGAGTTCGTTCATTTTCTTTTTCCTTTTCCTTTTCCATTCTCCTTTCTTCTTCAAGGAACCTACAAGAGACAGTCGCAGAACCTATACAGAGCTTAATCTCTCTGTCTGGTCGTAATTCTACAACAACCCAACTCTGTGAAAGTGCCGGGTTTTTGTCCTCTTCCCTCATCTATGCTCTTGTTCTTCGTCTGATAAAGGAACCAGAATAGAGAAAGAACAAACACCTGGTGATGCAAGATCAGGGAGTCTGAGATTTGATTAGTTGTGTTGTGTCCCCCCATCTGAGAGCAGATTTGTTCTGGTCAGAGGAACACCCAGAAGAGAAGAAGAAGATGTCTGCAAAGCTTCTGTACAACCTGTCTGATGAAAACCCTAATCTGCACAAACAGATTGGGTGTATGAACGGAATATTCCATGTGTTTTACCGGCAACATTATCCGGCGAGACGAGTCGTCGGCCATGACCACAACACCACCCTGCCTCCAGGTACTCCTCTTTCAAACCACACTTCAGAAAAAAGAAATAAAAGATCCAAGTTTTTTTTTCCACCATTTCAACCTTCAACTCATTGATTTTTACCAAAAAAAAAAAACACACCAAGCTTTAGAATTTTGGTGCTGTTATACTCTTAATCTTCTGTGTCAAAGCCATTTTTGCAAGTTTTGTATAAAGCGGCATGAACAAGAACTGAGATTGGTAACAAGTAAACAAAACAAGCTCGAAGGCTCGTTTGGATTTGCTTTTTAATCCCGCAAACTTGCAGACGTTATAGCTCAGGCTGTCAGGCATAACAGTGGTTTTCTCACAATAAAATAGATCTGACTAAATCCTAGACGAAGGTTTAGGACCACCTAGAACCAAAGTAGTTGGACAGGACCATAAACACAGCTTGTCGGAAGCTGATGCAAAGAGATAAGAATTCGGCACATCGAAGACTTACCACTAATTTGGGACAAGATTCCATGATACCCAGACTGTGAGAGCCTCTGCCGAATTACCTGTAATTTTCAACATGATATCAGAACAAACACATTTGCTATATGTTGGTTGAGCCCAAAAAAATCCATTGGCTCTTCAGAGGAAGACAAAAAATGTAGCAAACTCTATATTCATAACATCCATCTCACAATTATGCGGAAACTAAAATATTATGGGTCTTTTGCAGGTGAAACAGGCGATAAAGACGGTGAAACCAGTTTGGCAATTGATAAGGAGACGGTAAGAATCTAAGATAACAGTTCATGCTAGAGAATGGGAGAGAGATAAGCGAAAACAGGGTCGGTTTCAGGAAGTAACTAAAACGTGACTTACGGTATTGCAGGAGAAAACTAAGAAGAAGGCAGCCAAGGAGAAGCAGAGGGTCTCCACTGAATCATCATCGAGACCCTCGTTTTCATCTTCACCACGCTCATCCAGCTTCTCCTCTGCAGATGTCAGCACGGCTTCTCAGGTTGACCCTCTGCCTTTGACTCAGACCAACAACACCGCGAATTCCAATAGAGAACCACCCAATGGGTCTCCTCGTTGGTGCAGTCTCACGCATTGTGACCTTAGGGAGCTGGTGAAAGGCTCCATTCACAGAGACACGAGAGCCAAAGATGAAGCTTTCCCTCCTCAGCAGCCCAACACAGCCAGGGCTAGTGTGTCTCTTCTCAAAGAACCCTTGCGTTCGCCATCTCGGAGTTCCATCGAATGGAATGAGGGCAGACGAGTCGCTCACCTCAAGGACAGTCCTCGGCTCTCTTATGATGAGAGGGATTTGAGAGGCAATGGATATAAGACGGCAACAAAAGCGAGAGAACCTCCGAGGTTGTCATTAGACAGTAGATCAAACTCCTTCAGAAGTTCTAGAACCGATATGAGATCAAATTCCTCACTGGAAGACAGGAACGGACAACAAGAGCCTGCAACTCATAGGAGAACAACATCGAGTGTGGTTGCCAAGCTGATGGGTTTGGAAGTCCTCCCAGTTACTACTGCAAGCGAGCATGATTGCTTGTCAGGACCATCGGTTACGGCTTATAACAACAGACAAAACCACTTTTGTGATTCTCCAAGGCCTTCCCATGTGGAAGCAGCACGGCATAAATCAAGAGGTGCAGATTCAATCAAGAAAATGACTCCTGCTTCTAAATTTCCAATGGAACCAGCTCCATGGAAGCAGGTGGACAGCCCCACAGCCGACTCCGCACTGACAGTGTATGGTGAAATTCAGAAGAGATTGACGCAGCTGAAGTTCGAAAAGTCAGGAAAAGACCTCAGAGCTCTTAAACAAATACTTGAAGCAATGGAGAAGACACACCAGTTAATCGATGGCAGAAAAGATGATACTCTGAGTTCGACCATGCTGACAAGCAATGGATCCAGTCTTGTTCAAAGACCTCAGCAGCCAACACCAGCTGTTACAGTAGCAACAAGCCCATCGATGGAAATCAGATCTTCAATTGTTGTAATGAAACCTGCTCAAGTTCTTAAAAAGTCGGGCAATTTAGCATCTGCACTGCCACAGAATGTCGCATTACCAAATCTCCAGGTTGGCAACTCCAGACAAATCCGAAAGGGTTTTCAGGGGAAGCAAACGGCCATGGATCTAACCCCAAGGCCGGGGTTCTACAAAGGCCAACTTGATTCCACAGTTAAGAATACTAGGAGCAGATCACTACGATCAAAGCAAACTTCGGTGGAGTCTTGCTCTCCAAAGAGTGCCATGGCCAAGTCAGGCAGGAACCAAAATAGTGTCAGCCCTAGATTGCAACAAAAGAAGCTTGGATTTGAAAGGCAGTCTCGGCCCACAACTCCCACATCAGAGGCAAGCAAGACCCAGAGGCGGCTCGGTAGGCAGCAGACAGAGGTACCCTCACCGAGAAGAAAACAAGGGACAAAGTCTTGTAATCTGTTGCAATCCGATGACCGGTTGAGCGATGCAAGCAGTGACCTGAGAAGTCTAAGTCACCAAAACGATGCAAGATCGCTAAGATCTGACAGCAACACAAGCTCATTCTCAAATGCAGACATTGAGGTTACAAGCAGATACAGGTTTGAGAGGCCATGTGACATCTCAGAGCAGCACATGCACACGCCAAAACAAAGGGTATGCATTTTCTCTCTCACGTCTTCTTATTCACTTCACAAGTAATCTGATAATACCATAATTAACTCCTTATTTGCGCTCCTCAGAGTCCAGACATACCCCTGCTAAAACCTGTGAAGGTTACGTTGGAGCAACCAAGCCCAGTTTCAGTTCTCGATGTAGCCTTCTATGAAGATGATTCACCATCCCCTGTCAGGAAGGTGTCCACTGTCTTTAAAGGTGAGGCACTAAACTCTCATAACGATACCTCTTTGCCAGAACTGACAAATAGATGCAACCAATTAGAATTGTAACATATTGCTAAATACTATAAAATGGTTGGCGAATCACACTTCATGTATATGGTGATTCATTAATAAACTCAAAGAAAATACAGATGGAAAACATGGATTGATCTGTTTGATGTTCTAATCTCCTTTTTACTTACATGAGCCAAACCAGCATTCTGCTAACTCCTTTCCTATTTTCTCTTGCCACAGAGGATGATATTCTAAATTCTGAAGAAGCCGAATGGGTAAAGGAAGATACAAGTCAGACGTCTACTAGCTTGAGAAGATCCTCTGTGCTGCCTGAAAATAATCGAAGGGTAACATATACAGATTCTGAACTTTTTGAGTGCTTCACTGATGAAGTTGCATTCACATGTGACACAAAAAACGCCGATCACAAGTACATCTCAGAGATACTGTTAGCTTCAGGGTTCCTGAGAGATCTAGAATACAGCATGATAAGCATTCAGTTGCACCAATCACGCCTTCCAATCAACCCCAACCTATTCTTCGTCCTGGAACAAAATCACGTAAGTGACAGCATTCTACAAGATGGACACGGAGGTAAAGGAATCGGTCAGATAAACAATGCTGAGAAAATCAGAAGGAAATTCGTATTTGACACTGTCAATGAAATCCTAGTCCAAATATTTGTAGCAGAAGGTTGCATCAAGCCACTCATAAAATCAAGCCCACTTATGGAGAAAAGATCACGAGGAAAATACCTTCTGCAAACTCTGTGTTCAGAGATTGATCGGTTGCAAGCTAACAACTCGAAATGTAGCTTGGACAATGATGAAGATATCATATGGGAAGACCTGCAAGTTCAAGGCATGAGCTGGAGAGATTTCGAAGGAGAAACTCCAGCAATAGTATTAGACATTGAGAGAATGATTTTCAAGGACTTGATTAATGAAGTTGTGATGAGCGAGGTAACAGCAGTTCGAGGAAGGTTTAGTGGACAACCCAGGCAGTTGTTCCCATGCTAGTTTTCTTGCCAGTTTCAGATTGCCACAAAGATGTTTCCTTTCCATAAAGACTTATCAGCTCCAGAGTTCATTTCTAAGTTGACAATAAGGAGGCAGATTGCATCTAGCTTTATGTAAATCTGCTGCAGAAGCTTTACTAAGATACGTGTATAATGCAATTAATACACACGTCTGTTTCTAATCTTCTGATGCATGACAAGTGATCCTTATCAAAAGCATTTCCTCTCTGTTATGACCCTATGCTCAAAGAGTAAATTCACAGACCATTTCTGAACACAAGACATAAAGAAACAAAAAGGCCTTCACAAAGGCTCTGAGTTGAGCACCACATAAAGTTGGAAAATACAAACCATCAATTTCTGTAAGACCCAGAAACAAAGAAGAATCTATTTGGCTGTTTTCAACATCTAAATCCTACCATCAAGAACGGTCGAGAAAATGGACAAGGATTCCCAAAACCCTAACATTCTTCATGAAAACTGTAGGAAACTGAAAGAATTTTCCTCAAGAAGCCACAGCCAACTATTAAACATCGATAAGGGCAACCAAAAAGCTAAAGCAAACGTTGAAGATTCAATCTTTTGCGGATATGATTACTAACCTTTTATCCATGCTCTGTGCAGTCGAGAACGAACTTATATTCATGAATTCCCAGCCATTTCTTTCACTCTTTGCCTTCCTTGTTGATCTTCAAGGTACTACTGTCTTTCCTATTGAACTTTTAATGCATACGTAACCTGCATTTTACATTCTAGGAGCTTGCTTTTCACTGTAGCATCTTGACCAAATTTCAAAGATTTCCTGAGTGAAAAGCCAAAGAGCATCCTCGAGCACGAGACAGATCTTCTCAAAATGATAATTTTCATTTTTCATGTTTCGGATGTTACAATTAGAGGCCTATGCATCTCCATTTAAAAAATAATGACAACAATGGTTTCAGATGAAAAAACAAATAAATTGATTGGTCTAAAGATAATACAGATTAACAGGACTTCAGTTCTATGCGCACACAATTGAACATTGAGAAAAAGCCGACTGCCCAAAGCAAAGGAGAAAGCTTACAGCAAACAATACAAACAGAATGTGGAAGGTAGGGAGAAGAAATCCTTTGGTCAATTCAACAAGAATTTCATTTAGAAAGAATATTTCACCAAATGTGTCTAGCAAGTACCAAGGCAACTTGCAGGCGCATACCTCCAATGATGTCAAAGACCAAACACCCTTTCCTCCAGAAGATTGAAATTAGTAAATTTCTTTCCCT